CAAGAACGACTTCTTATCACCCGCAATCTGATGGAATGGTAGAACGATTTAATCAGACATTGGAGAAGTACCTAGCAAAATTTGTAGACAATCGGCAACGAGATTGGGACAAGCACGTACAACGGTTTTTGTTGTCATATCGAAGCGCTGTCCACGAAAGTACAGCAGTGACACCAGCTTTCGCAAACTTTTTAGAATTACGGCTGCCTGCAGACCTGATCACCGGGATACCACCTGATGTCCCACGCAGTATAACCGATTATGCAAATGACTTGCGAAACAAAATGAATGACATTTATGAGCACGTCAGATAATCGGGCCAGCAAATGTCTGAGAAGATGAAAACCCGGTACGACCGCAAAAAGGGTTCGACGAAGGTTCACTAGTATGGTTGCACAATCCAGTCCGCAGCAAAGGGAAATCTCCTAAGCTTCGAGCTAAATAGGACGGCCCGTACCGGATTGTAACCAGGATCAACGATGTAACCTACCGGATACAGAAAGGCGCAAGAGGGACTCCTAAGATCGTCCATGTGTATCGCTTGGCGCGTTATTATGGGGCCGATAATGCTCGGGACGAGCATGTCTTAGGAGGGGACAGTGTTGCGCGAATAAGTCGACGTCATGTACCCAGCAGTAGCGCCATCTAGTGTCAGGGACGAGAGCGAGGGGAGCTGTCCAGAAACTGACATCACTAATCTTTCAACCGACAGCGCCATCTAGTCTCGAAACGAAGAACTAAGCTTCTAGAAGCTGACACTCGAACTCTCGACGCCTTGCGCGTGTTTACTTGAGTATTCTGGAATGTTTCGGTGCTAATTTGTATTTATAGGCGCTGCAAGATGCGATCGGGGAAGGATTTAATTTTGGTGAGACAAGCGAAGCTTCGAAGCGAAATAAAGTGAATCAGTGTGATTAATTATTAGTGTTTTAAGTTTTAGTTGGTGTAAAGAAAATTAAAGTGTTAATTTAGGTAATTCTATCGGCAATTTTTATTGTCACAAACCTTAAGCTCGTAACAATATGTACTAAAATGATCAAAAGTTATGAATCAATCAATTTAAGAGCATTATCAACAAGCAATAACACTTTTTAAGGAAAATTATGATCTTTCAACCATTTTCAGATTCAAATTTTTCAATCAGAATCAAAACAATACCCTACGTGTCGAGCATAATAGTGTTGGTGCGTACAAGATATAACTTGTTCAATCATGCATTAGCGAAGATTGTCAAAAAATATTCAATAATAAATACTAGACCATGTCGGAATACAGGGGGTGCCGGATTAGACAGCGGCCGGATTACCGGGGGTCCACGGTATATATATATATATATATATATATATATATATATATATATATACATAAATACAAAGTTAATACATACATATAAATATATCTACTATTCAACAATATTTTAAATTGTAATGACTCTTCAGTAAATGCTAGCGTACCATCTTTTTAAAGGGGTATTTGTTAGGCGTTGTCACTATATCACGTTAGGAATTCCAAAGAAATGCAGCCTGAACAGTGAAGGAGTAACCATAGAACCTGGTGAGATAAGTAAGAATATAAATCTTTTTGTTAGAGGAAGATCCAAGAACCCTATCATGACAAGAAGAGAGATTCCCTCCACCATCCCATGGTCCTACCCGCCTTGCGGCATACGGACCGAATCTAGGGAGACGCACACGGTACTTGCTCTCGGTTCTTTCCCGCGTGCGCTTGCTTGACTCCCTACAAATTTCTCTGATCCGTCCCTCTTCTCTACATTACACTTCTCCCCCTTCTGGGGCGTGACTCCACAGCGACGACACTTCGCGTTCGGCAGCTATCTGGTCGTGTTATTTAGTCCTCATATTGTTTCCTCTTGTGATGCCATGCATGCGCAAATCTCCTTAATTCCTTGAAGTTGGATTCGCAGCACACTAGGTCCCGGAAATAAACTGGTCCTATTGCTGTTCTTTGTATGCTGTCCAGTAATGTGTTCCTTTCTTCGACATACAGATCACAATCCCATAATGTATGGTCACGACTCTCCAGTGCAGATCCACAGGGGCATAAACCGGAGTTCCTAAGGTTGAATTTCAGGAGACGCTCATTGAAGCAGCCGTGACCAACCAGAATCTGCGATACTGCGTAATCGGGCTCGACCCATCTGAAGATTAGGCGCTCTGTGATATCTGGGAAAAACTTATAAAGGTCCCTGCCATCTTGGCTTGAATCCCATCGGTCCTGCCAAATGGCAACGACAGCCGCCATCATCTCCCGCTTTTTCTTCCTGCGCTCCTTGTCGACCAGACCCGTCCCCTCCTCGTCGACTCGTCCCGCGCGAAGAACTTCCAGGTCGGCAGGCAATACGCCCGCCAACACCGGTAACGCTGCGTTGCTCGCCGTCCTGTAAGCCTTCGTGAGAAGAATCAAAGCTGATCTTTGCGTCCTCATCAGTACGCTTCTGATAACATGGAGGGACGAGCGTCGGTACCATACGGCAGCAGCATATGTCAACGTTGCCACATATGTCCCTGAATACAGGACTCTAAGGGCGTGAAATCTTATGCCCCAGGTCGATGAAGACAGTCGCGACATCTTCCCGAAGCAAGCAGCGGCCTTCTCGCCGATATATAATGCATGCTGCACATAGGACCTAGCCTCGTCCAAAACTATTCCAAGGGCTTTTGCCTGTGAAACACTCGTGATCGTAGCACCGTCCATCTTGATAATTGGTCCACGTTTAAACTTGCCCTTGTAGGTCATCGTTTGTGACTTCCCAGCAGAAAACCCTAGTCTATTACGAACACCCCACTCGGACACGGCAGCGGTCATAGCTGCCGCTTTGCGCTCTATTGCGGATCGAGACGGCGCTTCGATCACGATCGTCACATCGTCGGCGTAAGCTACGAAGTGTACTCCTTCGGGTTTTGGCAGCTTCAGGAGGTCATCGAGTAGGAGGTTCCACAGGGTTGGTCCCAGCACCGATCCTTGAGGACAGCCCATCGTGGAGACCTTCCACACTACCCGATTTCCAGCAAACAGTCCCACTCGGCGATTTATGAAGTAACTCGTTAAAATACGGTAAATATTAGGTGGAACACCACATTGCTTTGCCTTGAGTAGGACCATTGGCCACCAGGCATTGTCGAAGGCTCCAGATATGTCCAGAAATATCAATTGCACGTAGTTCTCTGTTGAACCGCTGGCAGTGCGGTTGATAGTGTTAAGCGCGGTCACTGTTGATCGGCCACGTGTAAAGCCATGTTGAGCGTCGGAGATTCCGCGATAGAGACATGGAGCGCAGGAAATAATTACGCGCTCTAGAATTTTTCCTAATACGGGCAACAGGGTTATCGGGCGGTAGGCCTTCGGGTCAGTGAGCGGCCTGTCGCCACCCTTTGGCAGGACAACCAATTTGCCCATCTTCCACAGATTCGGAAAAACGCCCTCGACTATGCACGCCCTGAACATGTGCCAGATCTCGTCGCCAGTAACCCGCCATGCCTGTCTAACAATCTTGGCCGTGATTCCGTCAATGCCGGGAGCAGTGTTCGGCAGCTCTCGAATGATGAGTCCAACTTGTTCCTTGGTTGGTGGAGCAGCATCAGTTCCAGATGGAGCACATGCAGCAGCGATTCGCACTTGTCGATGGTATTCAGTGTCCCGGGCTAGATTATCGTCTGGGCATAAGGCGGTGACGAGACCAAGCATGGTGTCTCCGGTCGTCCTAGTATAGCCGTCGGCTAATTTCATTCCACTAAGCACGTTCAGAAGTGGACGAAATCGTCCACTGGCTGTTCGGTAAGCAAAGGTTGGCGGTTGGCCCTCCACATTATGCACCAGCAAGTTCCGTCCGAGGATGAATCCCTCCATCTGGGACTTGCGGTATTCCGTGTCAGGGCCCCGACCTGCCCATTGCCTGCGCTCGCAGTGCCACATTGGAGAATGAGCGTTACTGTCCACTCCAATAAGTATTGGGTGACCAGAAAGCTGATCCATCACGTGTGTGAGATGTTGCAGGTGAAGAGAGATGTCATGACTGTACTGGCAGTATAACTTATCACGCAACGCAGATGTGCACTCCATAACTACCGTGGTGCGTGGTCCATCTCTGCGGCCCTTCTTGAAGGCAACTCTGCAGGACTCATTGAACTTGTCTTTAGGCCAGTCCAGGTCATCACTCAGATTGATCCTGTACAAGTCCTCTAGGAAGTCAGCAGCTGGTGGGTCTGAGCGCAAATTGCGCGCTGCCACCAGTGGGCGCCTACTTTTTGGGTCGGAAACCTTTAAAGATGGCGGAACCGCTGCCTTCAATTTCTGGGCAGCCTCGACAGTCGCCGTCTGTACCACAATGCCGGAGTTCCCAACTTTCCGTACACTGTGAATTTTTATGCCCTGGGTGCCAGGCTGAACTGCCTTCTGCAACTCGGTTTTGGTCTCATCCGACGACTTTATCGCCTCATTGTTTGGGTAAACAATTACAGCCGGGCCCTTGGACTGGACACAGAGTGGTGGCTTACCCTTAGGCAGCTTCAATTTGGAGGCATAGCTGTCAGCAGCAGAAGTTGAAGAGGCCACACAGGGGATAGAAGGGGCAGGAAGGGTCTGGGCTTGAGCAACCGAAAGCTCCAGCTGCGCACACTTAAGCTTTAAGGCCGTTACCTCCTGTTCCTTTTCGCCGTACCTAATCTCTAGCGTTGCCACGTACGCTAGGATGTCTTGGCTGAGGCTGGCAATGCTGGTCTTATCAGCCAAGTTGAGCTTGTTGCTCGCATTGGCGACAGTTGCGATTCCTTTGAGAGCCGCGTGTACCCTCTCCAGAAGCGCAACCTTGTCCAGCACTGAGATGCCACTGGAGCCATCAGGATAGCTGAACCGAGAAGCATTTCCTGAAGTTGAGGCGGGGTCTGGCATAGGCTTTGTTAATATGCCACTAACTGGCGGATGCACCGACTTCTTCTCTGCGACGCGGCGCCTGACTGCCTCCTGCACGTCCTCAGGTGAGGTTAACACCCTTTTGGCCGTCGGTATAGAAGCTGCAGCAGTAGAGGTGCTTTGTTGAACTGAGGGTGTGCTAAACCCTTGCGGGGGGTGCGGCGCAGCGAGGTGCGCGGTGTAAAACCAGCCTCTCGCCGCATCTGCTCCAGTTCCTCAAGCTCAGCTTGCTTCCTGGCGAGCTCATCCTCGATGAGCTGCCGCTCCGTACCACCCGTGTCATCCTCTTCCATTTATAAATAAATATCCAAACAACAGACCAAGTAAAGAGCAAAAGGGAAGAAAGAAAAAAAAAAAAAAAAAAAAAAAAATAATAATTATAGATTATGTGTATAAGATAAATATACTAAGGGAAATTAAAACCTTATATCTAGCAATACAGTGCCAGAGACAATGACAATGACAGCTGTCAAACGTCAAAGTCAGATGTCAGACGTCAAACGTCAATTGAATCTGACAACCGCAAACGTCAATTGAAACTGACAACTGAAAGCGCGTGCTCACCACGTGCTTACAAATTAACCTCAATTTAAGGTTAGATGAAATAAAATTAAATAAGTAACACTATTATAGAAATATTACTCTAAAATGTAAAATAAACTAAAAGAAATACTTAAAATTAGAAATACTTAGCTCAGCACAGGGATAATCCAGATAATATCAATTGCACTGAACGATTAATATTTCGTAGAAATGTTTAAAATATACACAAATTAACAATATAAATTCACGAAAATTATCACAATATGTAACCACATATGCCACGAACACTAATAGATAGCACTTATGACAAAGGGTTAACTTGGGACACTTTAAATGAATTTAAAATGCGGAGATTGTACTGACACGTCCGTACGCTAAAGCGGTCGAACGCGAAGAGACAAGAAGAGAGATATTGAAATCGTTCTTTGAGGTAATAGGTAAGGCGAATATGGATCATTTATAATTGAAAAAAGAACAAGTAATATTCTGGAGTCTCGCCTTTGCCTGGTAAGGCACTTAAGCTGAGATCTATAATGAGAAATATGGTCATACTTACGCAGACCAAAAATAAATCTAAAAAACAATTCAATTTGCAATTCTTTGCCCATCATGCCTTGTATATTTTGATGCAACAGTTGTAAATAGTTCTTATTACTTATTTGTGGGCTGCATTCTAAATTAATTAAACTGTTATTATTATAATTGATAGAGATTGCCCCTATTGTTGCATTTACTAATTTAAATTAATTAGAACATATTCCAAATGAAATGTCAAATCATTATGCTACTTAATCGTAGACAGAGAATGCTACTCTGTCTACGTACTCAATCGTAGACAGAGAATGTCTACGTACTCAAGAGAAGCAGTCCTGGTAGCCAAAATAGCTGAGTTAAAAAGTAAATAATAAGATAGCACATTTGCTATTAGTCTAAAATTATATTTGCATAGGTAATACCTATCCTCTGTCCAAAACTTCTTAATTACATTATTTATGTCAATTAAATGAAATTTGTCATCATTATCATTACATGTCAAATTTAAATTATTATTACAAATTAAATTATATATGTATTTGTAAATTTAAATAGTGTCCTAAATTATTTTCTTGTGGCAATCCCTGTATATAAGGCAGTGTGAACGAAACAATTTTATTTACATATTAAGCATTGACTTATATATTACTAGCGTAAGGACCAGGCCGACCGAACAACTAAAACGGACCAGTACGCAGGCCCTAAAATTACAGTTTAGGGCCAACGCGAATCGGTCGACAGTGGTGCGCGCGCAGGACAGATTTGCCTGTCATTAATATGTCTAGTTGCGTAGTAAAAGAATGCAAAAATTACGATAGAAAGATTAAAAAAAACATGGGATATCGTATCATCGGTAAATAACCTTATATTAATTTTGTTACAATTAAATTATTATATAAACGCATTTTTAAAGTTTTATTTTACAGTTAGTTTTAATAGAGTAACTAAATGGAATAATAATATTATGATAATAAATAGGAGGTAAGTCTGCTTGATTAATCCTAGCCACCTTTTACTACCCACTAAAATCGCTTGGCATTTTACTGGATTCACACAGACTCCATATCGTGTTTACGTTTAGGTTTCAAATCAGCGTATCCGGGAAACTAGAAGTCATAAAGTCTACGTGCATGACGGTTCGTAACGACTTTCGAAAACAACATGTGGATGCAGTTTTGAAGAGAATTCAGCTGTAGTTCTTCATAGGGGCGTTATGGTGTTTTTTTATAAAACAAGATATTTTGTTCCATTTTGATTCTGTTCTACGCTCATTGCGTAGCTTCTAAAGGATATTAATAAGTAACCATTCTCTACTCACCCGCAAAAGCTCTGTTATAATTTTATCTACATATTGTCGTTGCCATTTTAAAGATGCTGGGGAGCTATTCTAATCTCATTTAGATCCATGAAATCAAGGATTTCATCAGGCTAATATCGTGACAATACATAAAATCCTCATCAACACGTAAACATTGCTGGACTTGCGTCTTCCCCAAACTGTTTCGCATATGGAACATTGGTTTCTATAAAATAAAATAAATAATTTTGACACTGCTTCCTATCGTAGTTCCCAATATTTTAAATCTGGTTCCATGGTAGCGCGGGGGCTAAGCGCTGGCCGTTATTTTATAGTATGCGAGCAACCCAGGTTCGATACCCACTGGCACCAATAAACTTGTTAGTTTCAATTTTAACTGCCAATTTATTACGTTTTCGGAAATTTTCGTGAGGCAGTTTCGTCCTGGAAATATTTTAATTCTTTCGACATATGAAGAGAAGCGTAGCAGAATAATAAACATTTTTAATGAGTTAATATGAAGCATAACCCATAAAAAACTTCAATGAGGATATTTAAAAAAAAACCTACTTATTAAGTAAAATTTTGGTTTTTGAAACGAAGTACCCACTAATTTTAAAACTGTGAATGTCCGAATTATGTTTACTATAATATTGGAATACTATATGTAATCTGTGATATTTCCAAACTTTTTTCGAGAATTCAACCCTCCATCAAAAGTCCATAAAGGCAATTTTTACTTATTTATTAATTGGTATCTTCTGCTTTTTAATTAGCCCATAAATTCTACATGAGCTTCTCTCATTGACGTTAGGTGGATCTACCAGACTTATTGGCCCTCAGACGCTGCTGCCTGTCGCCGGTCTGGGTATTTTAAGCTTGGTGTAAACAAAATGATTAAAGTGCCATCTATCGAAAGCCATAGGATTTTATGGAATTTTCCATAGTCACCTCTAGGACACCCGCTGTGCGAAATGGAGACTCTCTGTGTTCCTCTAATTTATTAATTTTTTTATATACACTTTATTGTTTGACGCCTTAATAAAAATTATGTATATTTTTGCATTTAGTTTGCATAACAAAGAAAACTTGTCTTTGTATTACAGCAGTATTAATTCTCAAACGATTTACATACGTGTCAAAGTACATGTATTATGTATGATTCGACCCGGTTTATAGACGGCTTGTGTAAATTTTACAATTTATTTATGGCCGAAGGGTCTATTAAAGTAATTGCGCGCGGTGTCCAACAGTAATTTCTTAGTATATAGATGTTAATTGCCAGTGCCCAGTTATTAGTCTTTCGAATGTTATACAGTTGTTATAGTTGGATAACTGTTTTAAATATTTTGTTACTTTGCTATTAGTAAAAATGTTTTAAACTATATTTTGCTTTTAATATTTTTAATTGTACCTTGTGTAGTGGCGGTATAAGAATATCCACTACCCTAAATCGTCCCGTGGGTGTCGTAAGAGGGAAATGAAACCGGAGATGGATAGGAACATCTACCTGATAACAACTTAAAAGACAAATATTTGGAAAATCCAAAAGTGCACACCTGGAAGGCTGTCGTAAAGCGAAAATTAAAAGCAAAAGAACCCAACCTAACAACAACGAAACAACAAAAAAAACGAATAATTTATTTAAAATTTTAAAAGATATTAACAGTTTTTTATATAAAAAAATATGAAGATGATGATGGGTGACGTGAATTACAATTTAAAAAAAATAAGATAAATGAGTACTGAAACGGAGCCCGAAGACCAAGGTGGCACACCGCACTTGGCAGTGGTGCTCACCACACTTGGCAGTGGTGCTCACCGCTCACGGAGTATGCACAGGCTATGCCTGTGGTAGGTGCGCAGCGCCTGATCTAGGCACACGTAGCGTCTGGAGTAGGCACACGCAGCTCTTGAAGTAGGCACACACAGCGCCCGGAGTAGGCACACGCAGTGCTTGAAGTAGGCACACACAGCCCCCGGAGTAGGCACACACAACGCCCGGAGTAGGCACACGCAGCGCCCGGAGTAGGCACACGCAGCGCTTGAAGCAAGCACGCACAGCGGCTAAAGATAGCGCGGGCACTAGTAGGTGGAGGCGTAGGCGTGGCTAGGCGACGACTTCAGGTGAAGGCAGAGGCTTGCAGGATCCCGGGGCAGTGTGGCCCCGGGATAAGGCCTTTAGGAGATGCTTCTAGTATGAAAGCTGAAGCGAGACTCTCTTTATTGGCCGATTGTTCGGCTTTTATACTTTTTTAGAGAGCTCCGCGCTCGACGACGGATTTGTGAAAAGAACGGGAAATTATTTAAATTAAAAGCAAATTTTTGTAAATGGCCAAGAAGAAAAGAGTATTTTTGTGGAAGTTTTGAAGTAAAAACATCAGACTTGTAACGAATTTGAATAAAAATTGCCATGACAACCAGATAAACAACGATGTCAAAACATGTAAAATTTTGGTTTTAGGCTCGTAATAGAGAAACGGCAAGATCTAAGTGAAAAATGAGATATTATTGATATAGGAAAAAAGGTAGCGGAACAGTGCTCAGGAAGCCCGAAATTGCAGAGTTACGGAGAACTAAATAAAAGATCGAAAAAGGTAGGCTCCATCGACACCGATTTAAAATGTGCTGATAGCGTGAAAATACGAAGTGAAAATGATTTGTTATTGTGTTCTTATGGTTTAAAAACGTTACAGGATCCTATGGAAATAAAGGTGATGCAAAATATCCAGTTTTGAGGTGAATACAGAAAATCAAAAATAAAATGGAAAAATAAATTTAAAATAGTGTAAAATGATATGTAAGTAGCATAACAATACAAGGCTCATGTAATGTTTTACTTAATCAAATTATTTTTATTAATTACCGAAACACGCATTTCGTATAAAGCTACAAAAAATTGTTTCTGTTTAATTAACA